CAAATATGTAAAAAATTATTATAAATGAGCTTCAAATCATAAATAATAAATCTTTTAAGCTCGAAAAATTTCTAGAAAAGTAAAGCCCTTAATAAAAATTGATCTTTATTTATCGATAAATAAATTACTCGTGGCTATGATCCAATTCCCAATCTCAAGCCATAATCAAAAAGATATTAAGACCTCTCATATAATCGAATTTGAAAAAAGATTATAGCATTCTTAGTATATAATGGGAAATGATTAATCAAATTAATCTTGTATTACAAATTGGCAAAATTTTTTCAATCGATTAGTTGGTTAATTATTTTTTTAGTTGGTTGCAACTAATTGATTAATCGACAAATTGCAACTAATCGATTAATCAATGAGTTGTAACTAATCGATTAATTGATAATTGATTAGTTGCAACTAATTCATTATTTAATTCTTTAGTTGATCAGTTGCAACTAATCAATTTGATTAGTTGGTGTCTAAAAAGTTCAATCAATTAGTTATCAACTAACCAACTAATCGATTTTTTCAACTTTCGATTTGTAACACTAGATTAATTAGTAATTAAAATATAATGATACAAAGACTCTACCGTATTTGCATAGTAGATAATGGTGAAACTCTAACAACAATGATGTGTAAAGATCAACTACACCTTTGGCCATATTTGGTATTGTACTACTTTTCTTAGATTCGTCTGTTTCTGTTAGCGCTAAAAATTACCAGATCTATAAATCAAAAATAACAATTTCCAGAGAGAGCTAAGAATTAATTTTGACAAACACAATCAATAATAAAATCCTCATATAGATTAACTTCTAGTTCTCTCTGGAAATTATGTTTCGAAATAACATGCAGGGTTTTATTTTTCGTAAAATATAGTAGCAAGGCCTGTAATAAGAAAGCATAGTTAGTTCTATTGAAAAAAAGGGTTCAAGTCTTATAATTTAGTATATACAAATTTAATAAAATCTCTAAATGTACCCTTTGTAAATAAATGACCTCTAAATACATATTTGAGTTTTAGCCCAAATATATATGTGACTTCATAAATATCTTTATTATTGTTCTCTAAGTGCATGTTATTAAAGTTTGATCACTAGTGGTGATTTAAAGAGATCTGAATATATAATATCAAAAAATTTATTTTCTCTATAATTAAGTTCTGTTTTTATTAAATATAAGCGAGCTATAGCATTTAATTCAGTACACAACCGAAATTTTTGTTAGCAAAAGTTTTTTTATTAAAGATACTGAAAAGAATTGAAAATTAAGACAAATACCTTGTTGCCCTTATTTACAGGCTTTTTAGTATTAGCTAATTGGTATAGTGTCAACAGATTACCCAAATATAATCTAATAATTAGTGCTCAAAGTTAAATATAATTATCTTTGACTTTTAACCCACCTGTCAAAATTCACATATATAATTAGATATCAAATAACTGATACTCTTTTTTTTATAAAATCGAATTTTTTGGGTGCGTTAATAATTTGTATAAATTCCAGAAATCGGTATATATGATATTATATTCTATTGTTATATTATTATATCATCATATAATATTATTAAGTAGTTTCACGTAGTATTAGAAACAGAGAGAATGGTTACGATTCTACTATTTCTACTATTTCTACCATTTCTACTATTTCTACTATTTCTACTATTTCTACTATTTCTTTCAATTTGTCAGAAC